CAATACTGCCATGGGGACAGCGCCCCCTACTGCATCTCTGATACCACCTCGGCAGCAGCGAGATTGCCCTGGGGTGTCTCCGTTCCACATCTTAACCAGTCCCCAATCCTGCAAGATCTTTCTAGAGGCCAGGGTGCAGCGCTGGTGTATCGCCAGCGGGATTCGTTCGTCCGCGTGCCCTGGATGGGGCACGACTGATCTCCTCCGTTCTCGGGAGCTCCATTGGTCCGCTGTAGCGCTGAGTCGCGTCTGCCTTCTGCAGTCGCTTCACGGGGACTCTAGTTGCGGGAGGATGCAGGTACGCAGCCAGGAACGGGCCTGGCCCAAGGCAAAGGGGTGCCAGGACAGTGCCTCGGGGAGCAGAAGCGGATTCTGAGCTCCTTCTCCCATCACATCTCAGCTGGGAGCCTCTTTGCAGTGCGGCTAGGACCCCGAACTGGGATTTGAGAGTCCTTGGGACTATTTCCAGCTCTGCCACTGGCCTGCGGGGTGACCTTGGGCAAGTCACTTTTCCCCTGCTCCGTGCCTCAGTTCCCCCATCTGTAAAATGGTGCTAGTGATACTGCCCTCCTTTGTAAAGTGCTTTGAGATCTGTTGATGAGCCGTGCAAGATACGAGCTGGGGGTTACCATCTGAATGTACCCTGTGCTCTCCCCTTCCCAGTCATCCAGGCTGGTCCCAGAGCTCCCTTTCTTGGGGGTAGGGGCGAGGCAGCATCCCAGCCGGTATCCTTAGCGCAGGGGAAGAGTGTCTTGACAGGGAGGGAGAGAATTTAGCCCTTTCTTGATCTTGAGAGTTCAAGCATCCTGAACTCCCAAGCCTCTTCTGCACCGTGCAGCCGAACGTCCAGAGGAGGGCGCTGGGGGAGGGCGTGGCCCGTGGCCTATCACAGGGGGCCATGATGCCACCAGTGCATTGGTAGCTCTGCGGTGGTGACGGACTTTAAGGAGGCATCTTTGGGCGGGGGAGACGCGAAGGGGACTGTGGCCCCCTCCCCAGGCGCTGCTGTTAGTGAAAAGTAAGCACCAGACCGGCTCCCAAAATCCTCCTTCCCGACACCTGGTGCATCTGCACAGGGGGCTGGCCCTGCCGGCTGCCGAGCCGCTCCCTGCCTGGCCACGCCAGCCATGCACTGTCACAGCCACCTGTTGCTGGCCCTCGCTAATTAATTTGTTGCCAACAGATGCCCTGTGGGCAGAGAGGAGGGGGAGAAACCAAGAAGATTCCCCCCCCCCTCCCCCACCGCTGTCTCTGGTTTCCGGGCCTAAATGGGGGGCAGCCTGGCGCAGCAGATGTGCTTGTGGTATTATTACTTTGGCAGGTGTTTCCCATGTGCTTGGGTTTAACCATTCGGCTGCCAGGGGCTTCTGTGGGTAGAGCTCGACTGTGGGGGTCAGGGTGAGACTGCGGAAGCATCGCCCTACAGGAACGAAGGGCCGTCCCAGACCACCACGCCGAGGGCTGGACCCATTTCTATCATCTGCCTTCTCTGATATAATGGCAGAGCCGCATGGACGTAGAACTGCTTCCCCCGCCCCCCGTCCTGCCCCAAAAAAAGACAGCCCGGCAAGAACGCTCCACGTGCAATTCTCCCCAGGGAGGGGGTGAACCGCCCGTGACTGATGTTATGTTGCTTAATGCATGACTAGAAGGCGCTCAGATACTAGAGGCATGAAAAGCTGTAAAGGGACAGAGGTAGAACAGACTGGCCTGAGAGCCGCTCGTGCAGAAAAGAGGGGATGGGCATCCACCGGGTGAGGATTGCTGCCAGCTTGCTCTGATTCTGGGGGAATCCCTCTTCCCCTGGCTTTCTGATCGGCTGCTCCAACGCTCCTGTGGTATGGTTCTGTTAACCGCTCAATTGCTGTGTTTGGGGACTGGGACCTTCCCCAGTGTGGGCTCGATCCAGCAGACTTCGTGTGCCGTTCCTCTCTCTACTCATCTCGGTTTCCTCCCCTTGGCTGGCGCCAGCCTCCTTCATGAACCCGTCACGCTGTCTTGCCCCGGCTGGTTCAAGAGCCTTCTCCTCTGCAGCTCCTGCTCTCTGGAGCAGCCTCCCCGCCGTCCCCTCTCAGATCTTGTCTCGACAAATCTCTCTCCGGCGCGGCTTCGCTTCCCTCTCCCTCGGCATCTATCTGAGCTGGGCTGAACCTTCAGGGAATTGGTAGCCGGAAACGCTGATCAGAACTTGCCACTGGATATTTTCGTTACTGATGCAAAACTTGAACGGAGCCTTGTGTGTCGGCTCAGATGAGGCGGGGACATTTCGCTGACGGCTGATGTCAGCACGGTCCAACCCAAGCCCAACTTCGACACCTACCCCGGAGCCTAAGGCTAGTCACGATCCAGACCCAAAGAGCCCTCGCTTGGTCCATCTCTAGTTGTTTCTCTCTGTAGAGTTTTGGGGGAGGGGAAAAGACGCACCGTGTATGGAAGATGCTGCTCTGGGAACAAATAGCTCCTAGAGGATAAGGAACCCAGCAGAGCTTTGCTCAAAGCCGGGATTTCACCTATTGCAGGTGTGTGTGATCGCTAAGAGATGGAGAGGGGGGATGATGGGGTAGGGTGTTATCATAGAATCTCAGGGTTGGAAGGGGCCTCAGGAGGTCATCTAGTCCAACCCCCTGCTCAAAGCAGGACCAATCCCCAACTATTTTTTTTTGCCCCAGATCCCTAAGTGGCCTCCTCAAGGATTGAACTCGCAACCCTGGGTTTAGCAGGCCAATGCTCAAACCACTGAACTATCCCGTGTTGTCTGTCTCTTGCTTCTTACACCCCTCTGTGGCCGTTCCTGGTGGGAGCGGAGCTGGTGTGTGGTTCCAGATATGACTGAGCAGCGTTGGTGTGATCTCAGGCAAGGCGTTTCACAGCGTGGGGCTGGAAGTGGCCCTCCCCCAAGGCCCAAGAGGCACAGCGGGGCTCTCCCGGTTGGGTTGCCCCTGGCTAGGTCGGGGGCTCACGGATGGTGAGGCTGTCTCTGAGGACCAGGCTCCTGGCAATGAATGGGGAGCTGGTGGAGTCGCTGGAGGGCTAGTATGACGTGCTCCTGTCGACCTCTAGCTTCAGCGCGCTGGGTGTGTTGTAGCATCCTCGCAGGGACCCGGGATGAAGGTGTGGATGGCGGATCACAGCGTCCGGTCCCCTCGCCAGCTGGCAGCGCGGGAGCCCTGCCCACTAACACTACCTGCTGCCTTGATTGCATGGTGTCCGTATCCTGGCAACTGCTAGCCCGGCCTTCCCTGGGTGCGGACTGTGCCAGCTGCTCTCTGGGCATCAGGGTGAGGGAGCTTTCCCCATCTTCCTTCTTTCTGGTTTGGCGCGGTGCCCGGCAATACGGCTCCAAGGGTCTGCCACCCGGCCTGGAGGAGCCGGTGCCAAAAGGGAAGCACTTGTGGGAATGGCAGGCAGCGCCCGAGCCAGCCTCCAGTGCCGCTCAGGAAGTGGGCAGGAAGCGATCTGGCAGCTGCTGGGAGCCGGCCGCCCGGCCTTGCCACGTGCTGCTTCCCCTTCCCAACCCACCGGGGGTCGCTCGCCCCTTCTGTTGTGCAATTGGAAGGGTTCAGGGTGGGCCCCCAAGCTCCTCGTGGGACAGGGCGATGCCCCCACCCGGGGCTGAGCTGCAGCCGGTTCCCAGAATCCGCTGTTGTAACCGGACACGTCTCACGCAAGCGCTTTCCTGTGGCTGGGCTCTCTGGTAGCGCGCTCGGCGCCAGGGAAAGGCCTCTGGGCACGGAGCAGCCGCCGGGCTCAGATCAGTGCACGCGGCCCCTCGGCCCTGCCCTGGGGCTTCAGAGCTAGAGACCGGGCCCGTCCGTTCTCTGCGTCTGCCAGCAGCGGGGCCCAATCCTGATGGAGGCTCAGTGACATGGACGCCCGGGCTTCAGTGTGTGGGACTGACCCAGCAGCGAATGCCCCATAGGCCGCGGAGCAGCCGTCCATGGTAACTCCCTGCGGCCACTCCCAGAGGGCTGCGTGTGCTGGGTTTGTACCAGGGCCCCAAACAGCGCCAGGCTTGGCCCAGCTCTGAGCCTGGGGATGAGCTCCTGGTTCATGGGGGGCGGTGGGGGTTGTGGCTGGCTCAGCATGGCTGGAGGCTGCTTACTGCATGTGTTGGGTTAAGCAGGGTGCCCGGGGGGGGGCTGGGCTGGCGTTGCCAGAAAGCATTAAAAGACAATCTGGACGCCTATTCCTGGGACTATCCCAACCTGGGGCTGGATCCTGTTGTGTTGAAAGCGTCTGTTCTAATCAGCCCCCCCTCTGGGGGTGGGGGAGAAGCAAGGCTGGGCCGTCTCCTTCCAAGGTACATGTGCCCCTCCAGGCTTCCGTACTGGCAGCTGGCTTAACATCCCTACCGATCTGGCCTCAAAGGCAGCTCCAGCTCTCCATATCCCGGCCGCCGGTGCCAAGGACCTGGCAGGATCGGGCCCCTGTTGCTCCGCAGAGAGGCTGGGCCGTGATGGAGTTCCTGGTGGGAGGGGGAAGGGAGCTGCAGGGATCTGACCCGGTGGGGTAACCGCTCCCTGGGGATTTGAGCCCCCCTGGTGCCGCTGCGCTGATACAATCCCCTGGTGTTCCCAGGACAGCCCTGCTCCAAGCTGTGATTTGCACAGGTGCAGTTTCCACCTGTTTGGAGCCAGGCTCCATACGCTAGAGGCCGACACGAGCACTGGGCACCCCGGGCTGCAGCTGCGGCAAACCCCTGCTGTAGACCGGGCCCGAGCTCTGGTTACGATTTCATTTATTTGCTTTATAATAGCGTCAGCCAAGATCAGGGCCTCGTTGCGCTAGGCGCTGTACAAAGGCTCCTTGCCCCAGAGAGCTTACAGTCCTCGATTCCGAGGCCAGAAGGGACCAGTGTGATCAAAGGGTGATAGATGAGACGACGGTGGGCCTTGGTCGTGGATGCTGTGTGGGCCTCCAGAGGGCAAAATGGGGTCGTGGGTGCTACTGTTGGTGGTCCGTCTCTTGAACTAACTGGAATTCTCTCTCCTGCCCATCAGGCCAAAAGGAAGCTGGATCTGGAAGGGACCGGCCAGCCGGGCATCCCAGAATTCCGGACACCCAAGGGGAAGGGCAGGACGGTCACTCGAATCCCCAGCCCCAAAAGTAAGTGGTGCTGAGCTGGCGGGATGTGAGATGTATGCCTGGGTGGGGGGCTCCCATGCAAAGGGCCTGCATTGCCCCACTGTCCGAAGCAGCTGGGTCCTGGAGATGTTTCTCACCAGGAAAGTGCCGTGTATTGACACTGGGATATTCCACACAGGGATGGGGGAAGCCAGCCCTGTAGGGGTGAGGCTGCCATGTGGCCTTCAGGCAGCCGAGTGTGTGTTGTAGTTAGGAACAGTCCGTGCCGTCCTCCTGTGGGGAAGGACAGGCTTGGAGCGAACAGGCATCCATGAGCATCTGCTTCCAGTATACCCCCACCCGGCTTAGTGCTGCCATAAATACAGGAGCACCTGTAACTGACCCTGCTTGGACCTGCCGTGGGGTTTGAACCCGGGCCCGTCGGCACTGAAAGCATGAGCCTCCGCAGCTTGAGCTAAAGGGGAGGGACCCAGCCGCCCTCTGCGCTAGGCTGTTGAAACCCATTGCAGGCTGCACTCACGGCAGCCCCCGTGGGTGGGGCCCTGCGTGCCTCTAGCCAGCAGCTGTTGAATCTTGAATCAGCCTGGCCCGTTCTCTGGGCGGCATTGTGACTTTTCTCAGCTCCTCTCCCCGGCTCAGCCCACCTGACCCGTCTCCTCTTTCCCCGCCCACGACAGCCCCCAAGTCGCCCGGGGAGAAGACGCGGTACGACACCTCCCTGGGACTGCTGACCAAGAAGTTCATCCACCTGCTGAGCGAGTCGGAGGACGGGGTGCTGGACCTGAACCGGGCGGCCGAAGTGCTGGAGGTGCAGAAGCGCCGGATCTACGACATCACCAACGTGCTGGAGGGGATTCAGCTCATCCGGAAGAAATCTAAGAACAACATCCAGTGGATGTAAGAGGCTTTGTGCGGAGGGGGCAGAGATCCGGGTTCCCAGCAGGGCTCTGGGGCTGGTACCGGCTATGCTGGGACCGTCAGCTCTAAAGGGCCTTGTTTGTTCAAGTGAAAGTCTTGTCTGTGGGTGGAGTGACCTTCCCTGCGTCTGGCCGGGGGGCTTGCAGGGATCTGGGTCTTTGTCCCCAAGCCAGCGCAGGAAGGAGTATGAGTTAAGATCCAGGGTCAAACACGGTCCCAACTCGGCTGGTTTCTAACACGGTTTGGCCCGGGAGTCTGGATGGGAAGGGCCTCCATGAGAACTGAGTTTAAACCCAGCACCGTAGGCGAGACCAGAACGTAGCTCTTCCAATGATGGGACACGACCCCATTTGAGCTGTCTGGCTGAACAGTCCTGAAATAGCTTGTCAGCCCTGCTCCCACGCCAGCCTGGATCAGGCGGCAGGACAGAGCAGAGTTTGGACTCTTATCACACCTTAAGCACAATGGTCTTGTTCTCTCCCCACTTGCCCCCCCCCCCACACTACCACAAAGGAGAATACAGGGAATACTTTTACATGATCCATACGGTAACCTGTGGAACTCCCCACCACAAGATCACACTGAGGTCAATAGCTCAGCAGGATTCAAAATCAGGATCCAAGGCCACCGGCTGTTACAAACCCTGATGCTTCAGGGCACGAGCAAAGCACTGGCGGCCTGGGGTTAGGAGACACTTCCCCTGTGGCAGGCCACTCTGTAATTGTCCACCGTAGGATTCTTGCACCGCGCTCTGCTGCGTCAGCTGCTGGCTGTTGTCAGAGACGTGCGGTGAGCTGGCAGGAGTACGGGATCTCCTCCAATGGAGATTCCTATGTTCCCAGCCTTGCTGGCAGCGAGTGGGGCACATGTGCCAGGTTATTTTACGATGGAATGAACATAGTTGGAAGCAGCTGTCACCGAATCCAGTTTGCAGAGACGGGCCCAAGCTCCCCCCAGCGTGGCTCTGTCTTTGAACGGTTCTAAATTCCTGGCTCGGGGGGCTCTGCTTTCAGGCCGATCTCTAGCCCTGCTTGTTGCCTTTCACAGAGCCGTTTAGCGGCAAGGATTTACGATGCTGCTTCGCAGAGCGCTCGGAGCTGCGCGTCTTGTGACAGCGACATGCTCCCTCGCGGGAGACCTTGTGCTGTCCCTGCTGAGGCGGGTGATGCTGTCGCCCTACCCCCAGTGCGCTGCTTTCCACTGATCCTCAGTGGCCGGCTCTGCTTGTCTTCCCAGGGGCACAGGAATTTTCGAGGATACCTCTGTGACGGTGAAGCAGCAGTCCCTGCGCCAAGAACTGGCAGAGCTGGCCAAGACCGAGAGAACGTTGGATGAGCGCATCCAGGACTGCACCCTCCAGCTGAAGCACCTGACAGAGGACGAGACTAACCAGAGATATCCTTCACGGGGAGGCAAAGGGTTACGGAGGAAGGGGGTTGCGGGGTGTCTCTGCATCATGAGCCAACCCAGTCTGAAAATGACCTTCAGAGGGATATTGGGTCTGAGGGAGGATCTAGGGTGAGGGCTGAGCAGCCTGGAGGAGGAGCCGAGGAGCAGCCCAACCTGGGGGAGAGATTTGGGCTGAACTCCTGCTTCATTGTTGATAAAGCCACCGTCCATGTCATCTGTCCCACTCCCCCCCAAGTAGGGGCTGAGTTTTGACAGGTCAGCATGTGGGCTCTGTTTCAGAGCGGTCTGGGGAAAGCGCCTGCTCCCAGTGGGCCTTGCCTTCCTGTCTGAGCACAGTTTGGCTTGGATTCCGTCTCCTCTCCTCTGCCAGCGAGCCCCACGGCTTGGGTTCTGCAGCCAAGAAAGCTTTACCTCCAGCAGCTGTCTTATCCAGGGCCTTTCCCAGCTGTGCTGCCCCTGGGGGGACGGAGCAGACATGGAGGTGGCCGCATGCCAATCCTCACAGGCCCAGGACTCTGGGGTTGGCTCAGTAACAAACATGGAGCCAGCGGCATTCTTGGAGCCATGGTATGATGGCCTGGCACCAGCCTGTGGACTTGGGCAGGGGCGTTCAGCTCCATACGCCACAATGCCTTGCTGCCTGCCCTGGGGGGAGTGGAAGTGGTGAGCGTGGTGGTCAAGGCCTCATCGTGCGGGGGAGGTATGTAGTCCTGTGTCCCTCTCCAGATGGAAGAAGAGGTTTCTAATCTGTGCTTGGCAAGGAGGATGCCTTCATGGGTTGGGGTGGGAACCCGCCTAGTTTTGGGGGGAGCTGGGAGCTGGGGAGGGTCCGGCACATGAGGTCTGCAGAGAATCGACTGTTGTCATTTGTGGGCTGAGAAGATTGTCTGTGGTCGGTATTTCCTTAATTCCACCCCCACGTTAGCATATGTCACCTACCAGGACATCCGCGCCATCAGCAACTTCCAGGAGCAGACGGTGATAGCGGTCAAGGCCCCCCCGGAAACCAAGCTGGAGGTGCCGGACTTCAATGAGGTGAGTGCACCGGAGGAGGGCTCTGCGTGCAGGGAAAACCCACCCTCCTGGCCCGCAGCGGAGACCCCAGCGGAGCTCCATACCCCGTTGTGTGAGATTAGAGGAGCCTAGATAGGAAGGGCAACTATCCCCATTTTACAGCTGGGAAAACTGAGGCCCAGTGAGATACAGCAACTTCCCCAAGATCGCACAGGAAATCCGTGTCTGGGAGTTGACCCCAGATCTCCTGAGTCTCACCCTGGTGCCTTAGCCCCAGGACCACTGAATTCTAAGCATGTCCCGTGGGGCTAGGGGGACCACCTGAGGAGCCAGCCTTGGCTCAGCTGCCCCTTAACATAGGTGCCCAGAGGGGCTAGAAGTGGCTGCTTGGCAGGGAGAACATAAGAACGGCCAGACTGGGTCAGACCGAAGGTCCATCTAACCCAGTATCCTGTCTTCCGACAGTGGCCAGTGCCAGGTGCCCCAGAGGGAATGAACAGACCAGGGAATCATCAAGTGATCCATCCCCTGTCGCCCACTCCCAGCTTCTGGCAAACAGAGGCTAGGGACACCATCCCTGCCCATCCTGGCTAATAGCCATTGATAGACCTACCCTCCATGAACTTATCTAGTTCTTTTTTGAACCCTGTTATAGTCTTGGCCTTCACAACATCCTCTGGCAAGGAGTTCCACAGGTTGACTGTGTATTGTGTGAAGAAATACTTCCTTTTGTTTGTTTTAAACCTGCTGCCTGTTAATTTTATTTGGTGACCCAGAGTTCTTGTGCTATGAGGAGGAGTAAATGACACTTCCTTATTTACTTTCTCCACACCAGTCATGATTTTATAGACCTCTGTCATATCCCCCCTTAGTCATCTCTTTTCCAAGCTGAAAAGTCCCGGTCTTATTAATCTCTCCTCATATGGCAGCCGTTCCATACCCCTAATCCTTTTTGTTGCCCTTTTCTGAACCTTTTCCAATTCCAATATATCTTTTTTGAGATGGGGCGACCACATCTGTACGCAGTATTCAAGCTGTGGGCGTACCAGGGATTTATATAGAGGCAATATGATATTTTCTGTCCTATTATCTATCCCTTTCTTAATGATTCCCAACATTCTGTTCGCTTTTTTGATGCCGCTGCACATTGAGTGGATGGTTTCAGAGAACTATCCACAATGACTCCAAGATCTCTCTCTTGAGTGGTAACAGCTAATTCAGACCCCATCATTTTACATGTATAGTTGGGATTATGTTTCCAGTGTGCAATACTTTGCATTTATCAACTCTGAATTTCATTTGCCATTTTGTTGCCCAGTCACCCAGTTTTGAGAGATCCTTTTGTAGCTCTTCACAGTCTGCCTGGGACTTAACTATCTTGAGTAGTTTTGTATCAAGTGCAAATTTTGCCACCTCACTGTTTACCCCTTTTTCCAGATCATTTATGAATACTGTATGTTGAATAGGACTGGTCTCAGTACAGACCCCTGGGGGACACCACTATTTACCTCTCTCCATTTTGAAAACTGACCATTTATTCCTACCCTTTGTTTCCTATCTTTTAACCAGTTACCAATCCATGAGAGGACCTTCCCTCTTATCCCATGACAGCGTACTTTGCTTAAGAGCCTTTGGTGAGGGACCTTGTCAAAGACTTTCTGAAAATCTAAATACACTATATCCACTGGATCCCCCTTGTCCACATGCTTGTTGACCTGACCTCCTCTAGAATTCTAGTAGATTGGTGAGGCATGATTTCCCTTTACAAAAGCCACGTTGACTCTTCCCCAACAAATTATATTCATCTATGTGTCTGACAATTTTGTTCTTTACTATAGTTTCAACCAGTTTGCCCGGTACTGAAGTCAGGCTTACTGGCCTGGGTGAATACCATCTGGTCTTGGTGACCTATTAGTGTTTAGTTTATCAATTTGTTCCAAAACCTCATCTAATGACACCTCCAATCTGGGACAGTTCCTTAGATTTGTCACCTAAAAAGAATGGCTCAGGTTTGGGAATCTCCCTCACCTCCTCAGCCGTGAAGACCGATTCAAAGAATTCATTTAGTTTCTCCGCAATGGCTTGATTGTCCTTGAATTCTCCTTTAGCATCTTGATCGTCCAGTGGCCCCACTTGTTGTTTAGCAGGCTTCCTGCTTCTGAATTATTTAAAAAAAAAATTTGCTATTACTTTGAGTCTTTGGCTAGCTGTTCTTCAAATTCTTTTTTGGCCTTCCTAATTGAATTTTTACACTTCATTTGCCTGAGTTTATGCTCCTTTCTATTTTCCTCACTAGGATTTAACTTCCACTTTTGAAAGGAGGCCTTTTTCCCTCTCACAGTGTCTTTTACTTTGTTGTTTAGCCACGGTGGCTCTTTTGTGGTTCTCTTACGATGTTTTTTAATTTGGGGGGATACATTTAAGTTGAGCCTCTATTATGGTGTCTTTTAAAAGTTTCCATGCAGCTTGCAGGGATTTCACTTTTGGCGCTGTCCCTTTTAATTTGTTTAACTAACCTCCTCGTTTTTCTGTAGTCCCCCTTTCTGAAATTAAATGCTACCGTGTTGGGCTGCTGTGGTGTTTTCCCCGCCACAGGGATGTTAAATTTAATTCTATGATGGTCACTATTAACAACCGGTCCAGCTATAGTCACCTCTTGGACATGATCCTGGGCTCCACTTAGGACTAAATCGAGAACTGCTTCTCCTCTGGGGGGTTCCAGGACTAGCTGCTCCAAGAAGCAGTCATTTAAGGTGTCTCTCTGCATCCCATCCTGAGGTGACTTTAGGGCTCACGGGACGGGCCTGGGAGCTCGGTTTCCCATGCACTTGTCTTTGCTTCTCCTCCACCCGCCCTGGAGGGCAAGGCCCTGCTGAGTCACCCTGGGAAGCCCCTTCTGCTGTCCAAGCTGACGGCTCGGTGCAGGGAGGGGTGGGAGAGGGGACCCCCTGTGTGATGGATCCCGCTGACCCCTCCCCTCTCCGGGCAGGAGAACGTGCAGCTCCACCTGAAGAGCACCAACGGCCCCATCGAGGTGTACCTGTGCCCCGAGGAGATCCTGGAGTTCAGCCCTGGCAAGGAGAGCAGCTTCCCCACCCCCTCCCTCCAGGACAGCAGCGATGGCACCGACCCCTCCCCAGGGAAAGGTAACGCCCGGCTGGGGCTGCAGGGATCTCTGCCCAGGCCCGGCCTCTCCTCCCCCCAGTCTGATGCTGGCGGGTTTAACTTTCTCTTTCGTGGCGGCCCCTGAGCTCTCGCCCAGGTGGCTGCCGTACCCGCCCCGGCCTCGGGCTCTGCGCCAAGATCCACCCCTCCAAGCCGCCAGGTCTGCTCATTGCCAAGCGGCCTTTGGCAAGGCCCTGCTTCCCGTCTGGCTTCCTGGAACCCTGGCCCGCCCTTTGCCAGTTGCACAGACTGGGAGTGAGGGGCATTGGCAAAGCAGGGCGGGGTCTGGCTGGGGGCTCAGGGCTAGAATAGCAGGGGGGCTGCGGGTTGGGGTGAAGGGGCATTGGCAGAGCTGTGGGTGGGGTGAGGCTCCCAGGACTGGTATAATGGGGGGCTGTGGGTTGGGGTGGAGGGGCATTG